AAAAATTAATTAATTTTTAAAATTTTATTTCGGTTTAATACGGGGAAGACAATCAGAATTCTGACTTTAATCTCAGAATTCTGATTGGGAGGACCAGTAACACATTGGTGGAAAATTAGGCGACTTTTTACGTCCCTGAGGAGTTGCAGGTGATGCTATTTCATTAATGGAAGAGCAGAAGGTGATTAAAACCAGAGAGCTAGTTTAGCCTCTAAAACAGACATGGCTACGGCTTGATGATAACATGTTTGTTAGCTCTCAGAATTCAGTCATAATTCTGAGATTAAAGTCTTAATTCGAAGATTAAAGTCATAATTCTGTCTTTTTTTTCCCAAAATAAACTCAAATAATATTTAAAAATCTGTTAACTTCTCTTTATTTTTCAGTGGCCCTAATCCTCTTCTGTAATCTGAGAGAAAGAAATGTGGAAAAATAAATAAATAAATAAATTAAAAATAAATAAAATAAAAATTATGAAAAATATTTTAAAAAAATAAATTAAAAAGATAAAATCTAAGACAACAGGAAAGTTACTCCTTAAATCTTAAAAAAAAAACATTTTTCTAAAGTTTCATCTCTGAATTTATTTTTTTTTTTAATCTTGCAACAATAATGGACCTAAATTCTCTCCACACGGCTACAGCTCTAGTCTTCTTGTCTTTTAACTATATAATAATGTAACAAAGGGTAAAATAACAAATTAATAAAATCCATAAATATTAATCCGACCAGCTTCACACAGTGACAAACTTTTATTCTTACACTGAATTTAAAGGCTTCTCTTTTTTAAGTTTCTGTTCTGTTGGTTCTGTCTTTAGTATCTGATCATAAAACCGACACGAAACAAAACCTATAAACCTGCAGGACTTTGCCCGCTGCTTTGCAGGAGTAAAAACAGACTGAAGTATCTGTAGTGGACAGCAGGTGGCAGACTGGAGCAGTAACACCTACTTGAGCAGAGTTTTGTCCAGAGTTGGTGACGGTGTGAAGGCGCTCAGGCAGCAGGCCATCAGCAGCCATCCCCTCAGGCTGTTGTGGTCCTCAGCTTTTTCTGACGTGTGGTAAACAAGCTGGACCAGGATCTCATCTCTCAAAGCCGGATGCTTCTGGCCCTGTTCCACTATGTAGTTGCCTAAGGTCTGCTCCTGCCAGCCGCCCATGTCTGATTCTGCTAAAAACCGTAAGATCTGCACAGAGGGATTGAAACTTGCTAAGAAAAGATGAGAGGTGATGAGACGGCACCCATAGAAGATGATCGGCATACCAGCTTGTTGATCTCTAAGGCTGGTCTGGTGTATTCGGACTCCAGAGGCATGAGGGGTCTCTGGAGTGGGTAGCCCTGAGGCTGGGACCATGTGTCCTGGAGGTCAAACACAGAAAAAATTAGGTTTATGTTTGTCATCCAAACAACCTGATCATCTTCCACCTCCTAAAACAAACCATATAGAAATTCACTTTTTTATTAAGCCGTTATAGGGCAAATTTTCATTTTACATCACTTGCATATATGTACCATTAGGGAATACTAGGCAGTTGTCAAGGGCCTCAAGTTCCTGGGGGCCCTTGCACATAAATTCTGTTTATGATCAAAATCCTTTAACTAAAATGCATTCAGAACAC